AAAAAAAAAAAAAGAATCATAGAAAGAAGGAAGATGAAGAAGATGAGGAAAGAGAAAAAGATGTGGAGTTTTAACGGCATAAAAAGTGGAATCGTTTTTTATCAAAAATTAATTCCATAAATAAAATACAATTGCATTTAAGCCATCATTCTAGTATTTATGCAAATAAATATGTTGGTTTTAGTAATTTTGCTAAAATTTATATATAAGTAATATAAATGTAATAAAAATGTTATTATGTGATGTAACAAGTAATTATCTCAAGATAATATTGAAACACGCGATGACAATCAAAATTAACACAACAAATTAATTATTGACCGAAGGATGTATCTACAAGATCCTTTTTTTTTTTTTTTTNNNTTTTTTTTTTCGAAACGACAGATTCAACTATATTAAACTCAAAAGGGCGAACAAAGTTCGAATAACAACACATCAATCCGAAAACTAAAAATGAGAGACACGCCATAAGCGATCTAGAGCCTCAACACAAAGAAAGATAACAACAAAGCCAAACCAACAACAATAATCAACACTAAAACCAAAACACCTGCCACTGCTCAAAGCGCCTAGCAAGGGAAAAACTAAAAGGAAAACAACCAAACCAAAATAACAGACAAGGAAAAGAACTAAACTGCAAATGAAGAAGCAGCTGCAGAGAACTCCATCCAATCAGTGAGGGCCAATTTAACTAGGATGGGCTCTGGGATGAGAGTTTTTTGAAAAAGCCACAAGTTACTGGATTTCCAAAGCCACCAAAGCATGTAAGTGGTGAGTTGGATTCGAGCTCGGCAACTTCAGATTTATCCAGTGAGCAAATGTGATACCACCATGTCTTAAAGGAGTCAATGCAGCATAAAAGGCCATCCCATTGGAGAGGACTAAGCTTCCAGCAATTGATGGATCTGCTACAAGTAAAAAACATGTGTTCCAAGGATTCAGCAGCTTCACCACAGATGGAACAAGTGGTGTCCAAGTCAATGCCTCTCCTGTTCAGATTAGTAGCTACAGGCAGGGATCCAGAGATGCATTTCCAGATAAAGTGCTTGACCTTGCCTGCAATCTTCAATTTCCAATGTCTGAATGAGATGGAGTTCTTAGTGATAGCAGAAGAGCTGCATTCTGGGATGTCCAAATTCTGGATCTTGAGTAGGGGTGAGCATCGGTGCGGTTCGGTGAAAAACCGCACCGAACCGCAAAAACCGAAAACTGAATATTTTAAATTATCCAAACCGAACCGCACCGAGTTTGAAAAAAAACCGCACCAAAACCGCACCGAAAAATTCGGTTCGGTGCGGTTTCTGTTCGGTTATAACCGAAAAAAAAAAAAATTAAACAAAATGTATTGAATCCAACAACATAAGTCCATATACAGCCTAAGCCCATAAGTCCATAATCCATTTCAAAACAAAACACCACTCACCCCATAAGTCCAACAAGTAGGCAGTAGCAACATAATATATAAAATCCAACAACATAAGTCATATAAAATATTACATAACAGTCATATAAAATATTAGCAGAAATCCATAACAAAAGTCCAGTGAAACAAAAGTCCTAAGCAGTAGCAATATCCATAACAAAAGTCCAGTGAAACAGAGCAGGACTTAGCAGAAATCCTCAAAACATAGCAGTAACAGAGCAGTCCAGTGAAACATAGCAGTCCAGTGAAACAGAGCAGCCCTCCTCAAGTGCACTGCATTAAAATCAGCAAATAGAGAAGGTACATAGAACAAAATACATAAAAAAAATAGTCAAAACATAGCACCACAAAAAAATATATAGAGTTCTTAAAAAAAAAAAAAAAAAAAAAA